CATATCGGCATTGTTTAAAGAATAGCTTTTTACAATACTGTACCATGTCACTATGGGACCATTTTCATTTTTAGTCAGTTCTTAAACTTTCGCTTTGTACAAAGTATTTGTTGGTGTTCGATTTGTAATAAAATATTTGTCATATTTCTCGGAGTAGGACTTGTGTTGTTAACAATTGTTAAGGGAGTATTATACATGCAATTCGTTTTTTAAAACATCAGGTTTTTTGTTACAGTATTATATTTTGCAAAAAACGACAGAAAAATGATTCCGGAATACATAATATCGATGGCTTAGTGGAAGATCGGCCTATCTCGGCAGCCAATTCAAGAACGCCCCATCTCAGAATTCGGTTGAAGAACACCCTACCCGGGCTGCCGATTCGAAAACGCCCTATCTCAGCTTATTTTCAATGAATTTTCATTTGATATTGGGCGTTTATGAACCGAATTCTGAGATACGGTGTTTTTCAATAAAATTCTGAAGTAGGGCGTTCTTGGAAAGTTGTCTGATATAGGGCGTTTTCGAACTGGCTACCGCGATAGGTCGATCTTCCACTCAGCCATTGATATACTTGATACGTATCACAGAGCGGTGGATAGCTCTGATCCATTATCATCAAGTTTATTTTTGTATGAACGCAGACATAAAAACTGCATTTAGCGCGTGAAGTAATTGGGCTTTTCAAAATCCCCGAAGCGGTGGTGCCTTCTACTTCTCAACTAGCTGTTAGAAGCGGGTGCCAAAAATAACTGTTATCTCGAATTTTCAAATTGAAAACGTTTCCCGAATTTTGAAATTTAACGAAAACGTTGTTTCATAACAGTTATTAGATGAAAAATATTTTTTTATTTCGCCGATAAGTTATAATCCAAGGTTTATTTTTTACTAATCTCGTTAAGATCCGATCAGTGGATCATGAGATATATATATATTTTTATATTAGAATTGAAGGCGGTTTTTTTTTGCTAAAAATTACTTGTTGCATACTTCTTTCATTAGTAAATCACGTCAAGATTTACATTTTTAAATTTAACGAACTTGTTGGTTTAAATTATTGTTGACAAAAATGCAACCGTGTGCCATAATCCTTGCCTGCAAAAATTTTCCCATCATGAATTTGCAACTTCCCCTCCAAATGAAATGTCAAAATTGTGCTCTCTCTTTGCAAGTTTTACAACTTTTTGTCCAAATGAACGGGATTCGGTAACAATTGGTACCAGCTTGTACAAGTTTTTGCATGAGCGAACAAAACTATTATCTGTCTTTCCAGACTGACTTTAGGAGTATTTTTTTTATATTAGGATTTACTAAAAAAATAAAAATAAATTAAATAGAATTGAAGAAAACTTTATTTGCGGTATTCGGGGCAAAGCTTTGTGACAGACTCCAGGTCTGGCTTTTATATGGATACACCAAAGAAAAAGGGGTGTGGTTTGACCGTTAGTTTGCAAAAATATTCAAGCTTAGATAAAACAAATTTAATTTTTTTAAGCCTCTTTATAGGAGAACCTCTGGCAAGGGGGTCCATATTTTTCTGAACCACTTCTGTTGTCGGAGGTACTCTGCATGCGAAATTTGGTGAGACTAACTCAACTGTAAATAATTTTTTAGTTTCTGGCCCATAGTACATGGGTAGAAGATATACATACATATTGCCAAAAAACGTTCGCAACATTTTTAAAAATTTTTAAAGGCTTAAGCTGCCTTTACACGGTTCGATTTTTGTCGTTCAGCCAAAATCGACCCGTATAAATAGCAATTTAACCGTAAAATGTAAATGCTTTGGCTAGTCGATTTTCAGTCGACAGAATCGACCCGTGAAGAGGCAGCTTTAGGCCTCGATATGTACATAGGTTTATATGCATGTGTGCTTTAAAGATCTCTATTGGGTGAGTTAGATTCCAAGAGCCTTTAGCTGTCAGGTTCGTCAATGGGGAACCACAAGAAAATAAACGAAATATACTGGTTAATTTTTTTACATATTTTTTATTTAATCATTTTTACGCTAATAACAAACGTCTCGGTTTTTAAGCAACCTTTTCGATTATTTCCTCCTGAATCATCTTGCGGTTCTCGGTAACGAGTTTTCTATGGACACCCATGTGGCATAGTCCAGAAAGCCTTTCTTCTCCTGTTGTGCTTCTGAGCCAGGTTTTTACTGTTCGAAGTGTACTAAACGATCGCTCCACAGTCGCTATTGTGCATGGTATCGCTGGTAAAAATTCTTCTTTTCTTCTTTAAATAGATTTACAATTTCCAACATCCTACAATGCTTCGGACAAGTTCTTTTTATTCCATAAATTGTACCAAAGAATGAGTTCGTTGCCCATATCTAGGTCATAGATCTGTTAAAAATGCTTCGCGTCCTTTTGTACCTTTTTACTGGAATATTTAATAGAATACAGTGGGTGCAATCTAGACAGTGAAAAAGCTGGAGTATTTTCATTGGAAAAGTGTAGTTGTAAAGAAGCCTTTAGTGAGTCCATATACGGTTTTATTACTCATTTTCATTGACCGACGGGGTTTTTTTTTCTGTTTTTTGTTTACCTGCCAAATGTGGTAAAGAAATTTATACTTGTAATCATACGAGATTTTTTAATTAACTCCGTATTGACACCTTCTGCAGTCTTTCGATCATTCGTAACCACCTCCAAAATATTTTCAATATGCTGATCAACGGAGATAAGGTCTGTTGTCTTCAATTGCAAAATGTGTGTTGTAGGTTCCAGCAACGTTGAATATTTAGCAATTGCCATTAAGGCAATGATGAACATCGGCCTTGTTATAGCAGCATACAATTGATACGCAGACTTTCTTGTGGAAAAGTTTCCCTGAATTTACCACTTTTTAAAGCTTCCACAACTTCAGGAAAATTTTGTGAAAACTTCCTTATATTCTTCCGACCATCTTGTTTCACACAAACGTGATATAATATTAGGAGCATTATTCTTGCGTGCGTATTTCTTATTTCTGGAAGTGTTCTTCTCGATGGGTTTTTCCATCCTGTTCATCACAGAACGGTAAGGGAAACTCAAACGCGTGTTTCATTCAATTCTATAACAATTCAATGCTTAACGCTGTGATTACTTTATTGTATCAGCAAAGAAAAACGCAGGCCTAATGTGGAAATTGAGAACATTTTCGATTAAGAGAACGAATTCGATTAAGCATACAATTTTGTACTTTTTATTTCTTGATTTTTGAAAATTTCTCCTTCGTTATGTAGCTGTAGGGGGGCAAAAATTTGCATCTGCGAATAATTTGTTTTCTCAAGTTCAATCGCATCTTTCTGCAAATAAAGGTTGCATCAAAGAATGTTTATTCTTCAGCCGTATGCGAGCATATTTATGTATTTA